CAGCCAAAACTCTCAGGTCCTTAGGATCAATCACCTGTTCCTTGGCTCCCTGCCTTCTTTCGTATAAGGATGATAAAAAGGGTCTCTCTTGGGAAAGGGACTTCAGGGAGTCTTTCCCTCAGAGCCGATGCTCTGCTGTAGGGACTTTCCCAACCGAGCCCCTGAGGGCTGTGATACAGGACTCTCCCAGCCAGATGTTCAGGAGCTGGTGTTTCCTTCGACTGGTGAGGTACTTCTTCCTCTTTATCTCTCTATTTTTCTGTTAAGAGTCTCTGCTTCTAAGATTGTATGATCGTATGTAATCACATTTATGTGCACGTATGTTTATGATTTTTAACAATATTAAAGCATTTACAAGCTAGGAAACGTGTGAACATGTCTTTGTGGGTACAGATCTGACCCTGTGAAACAAATGACAAGTGCTGCACAGCCCGAAACCCCTCACTGTTACAATGACTTGAGGAAGACAGCCAGTTTGGGGAAAGATCTCAAAGTCGTACTTGAGGCAGCTACTCCAGCTGTGCCTAAAGTCAGGAAGACCTGAGTTCAAATTCAGACACTTCTTAGCTATGTGACTCTAAGCAAGTCACTTGATTGCTGTTTGCCTCAGTTTCCCCAACTTTAAACTGGAGATTCTATTAGTCCCTACCTCAAAGAGTTATAAGAATCAAATAAGATAATGATTGTCAAGTGCCTGGTGCAAGGGAAGCATAATAGAAATGCCTATTCCCTTCCCCAGACCACAGGAGGGCTGGTTGAAGGAACTGGGGAGATTTGTCCTGAAGAAGAAAAGGCTGGGGGAAGGGCAGGTCCTCAAAGATCTGAAAGGCTGGGACCTGGAAAAGGAATCAGGCTCATTCTGTTTGTCCATCAGCCCCCTCAACCTCAGAGCAACGAGTGGAAACTGCAGAGAGGCTAGTTTGGACTAAGTATCTAGGCAAACTTCGTAACAATTCAGGCTTTCTAAAAGTAGAATTGGTTGCCTTAAGAGGTAGTGAGCTCCCCATCCCTGGAGGTCTTCAAGCAAAGATGGGATTGCCCTTCCTGAGTAAAGTTGTACCACAGAGGTTGTTGTTCGGCTTTGTGCTGGCCCAGATGAACTGAGGTCTCTTCCAGCTCAGAGTTTCTGTAATTCTTTGACAACAGAGGCCGGACCTCTGGTTTCTTTGGTACAGGAATTCCTATGAAGAAACACCCTTTCCCGGTGCAGGTTCACACCTGCCCAGCAACTTAGAGCCTTGGTTGAGAGTTACCCCGAGCACTGAAGTTAAACGACTGTGCCCGAGGTCATAAAGCCTGTATGTGTGAGCTATTTAATAAATGCTTGTCAAACTGAATTGAATTAAGTTGAGCTGGAACAAAAGATGAATGGGAGGCTGGAATGGGAAGCAAGAGTAGAAAGATATTTGTTTCTCTACCTGGCTGGCCTGTTATCGGTGGCTCTACTTACCTGGCAGTTTCATTTTATTTTTGCGCAGAGGTAAATCTGAATGTGTCCCTTCTCATCTGCATCAGGCACCAGGCACAGCCTCAGAGCCAAGAATGAACAGACGTTGGAAAGAAACTATAAAAATAAATAGATAGATAGATAGATAGATAGATAGATAGATAGATAGATAGATAGATAGATAGATGAATGAATAACTAAATAAATAAATAAATAGATAGATAGATAGATAAATAAATAAATAAATAGGTGAAACCACCACCCCCCCAAGGAGATGTCTGGCAGAAGGAAAAAATTCAGAAGAGCAGGTTGAGTCCTCCCGAAGAACAACTATACTTGGTCTCAGGTATTCCACAGATTCAAAATCCTAAAGGATAGCTCAGAAGCCCTCACTGGTGTGTTCATATTTACTTTAGTACCCCCAAAGGATATAATCAGCTCAAAATAAAGGCACTTACAAGGTAACACAGCATGAACACCCCCCGGAATGCTGGGGCATACTCTCACAAATACACACAAAGTCACTGGGAAGAATGGACACACAGGAGAGTGCACAGATAGAGAGGCAAGCACGTGAGGAGCTCCTGTGGTAAAGGCAACTCACCCCTTTTGTTTCGGGGCCCTGGTTATCCAGGGCGGCACAGAGATTCCAGGTGTTAGTTTGGTAAAGGAGCATGGTTTTAAAACTAGCTGTTTTACCCCAAATAGCCGAAGGAAAGTCAAAGACATTTTGCCCAATTTTAGATCCTGTACCAGAATCCTAATAACATTTCCCATTTCTATATTTTCCCTCATGTCAACCTTGGGAGGAAAGTAATGAAAATAGTATTGGTCCCATCTTACAAATGAGAAAACTGTGTCTCAGATGTGAAGGGACTTCCCCAGGCTAACACTGCTGATAACTCATTGAAGACAGGAGTCAAACCCAGGTAATCCAGATGTCAGTTCAGTGTCTTACTCACTATTGCCAACCTGTCTCTCATGCAGGCCAGTGAAGTAGATGGTGTTATTGGTGGGGGGGGGGACGACACAGACCCTGAAAACAGAGAACCTGGGTTTAAATGCTGCCTCTGGTGTTCCCTGTGTGACCCCTGGGACTCCAGCTCCTCATCCTTTAAATGAGTGGATTCAATGACCTTTCTGATGACAAGACCAGAGCTCAGTAAGAACTTTAAAATACAAATTCGATCATCTAGAACAGCCTAGATTGAATTTATTTGAGCGATTGGAAGGAGCTAACATTCTAACAGGGAAAAAGAAACGAGTGTTCCTTTAGAAACATAGTGTCTTCAGGGGTATTGAGGGAGTTAAATAAGAAATGGGGGTGGATTGGACCAGTTCTGAAGGTTTAAGGCGGGGAAATGCAGTAAGGTAGAGAAGAAGAATGAGTGTTCTTTCTCACAAATGGGGTGAATGAGGAAACCACTAGAGGAAGTACTGGAAGGACCAGGCACTTGGTGAACGCGTCATCTGAAATAGAGGAGAGATGGCTGAGCGCGAATATACACACAGCCTGAGCAAGATGTCAAATTCCACAGGAAATCTAGCAGGAATGGGGAGGGAGGGCTAGAGGTAAGAGGCAGAATGATGCTGGTGAATAAATAACTACCAGCAAAACCAATTTCCTGATCTTGAGGCAGGTGATTAAAAGGGGAAAAAAGGAAAACAAAGACCAAGGCTGTCCAGGGCTTCCTGCCTGTCACCTGGGGAATGGATTAACAAATAGCCACAGGGGCAATATAATGACATGTTGTTGTACCTTAAGAAATGGCAAACGAGACCATGCCAGAGAATCCTGGGAAGCATGAACTGATGCCGAATGGAGTTAGCAGAACTAGGAGAACAATGTATAAAAGGACAGCAACACTGTAAAACTCTGAAAGACTTTAGAATGCTGATCAAAGCAACAGCCGGAGGACCCGGGAAGTGATGAACACGAGGTGGGAAAGAAACATATGTTTTCACATGGCCATCGTATGCATTCATTTTCCTTGACTATCCTAATCTGTTACAAGGTTTTTTCCCCTCAGTATTGGGGAGGGGTGGCTTAGCAATAGAAATATCCCCAAAAAGGCTTTTGAAATTTTTAAAATTTAAATTTAAAAGACTGTACAGAAAGAGAGCAGATTTTTTTAAAAGTCTACACAGAGGTGACTAGAAGAAAGCAAAGAAGAACAGGACAGTTTGGAAAACGTGGAATTATATGCTTCTTTTTTTCAAGCCAGTATTATGAAATTCATTTTTCAGATTCAGTCTTCTGCTGTGTGTATAGACATGTTCATTTTCTGGAAACTTCAAGACAAAAAAACCCTTGAGGGGTTCCTATGTGACTAGAAAGCGGTGGCCCATCTCCTGTTGCCACATTCCAGCATGAGGTCAGGGTGGGCTACTGCAGCCAGCATACCTGAAACACCCACCTTCAAGCCCTTCCTCCCACATCTGGCATCCCTTCAGAGCCTAAGCATGGAAGGCAGATAGCTACATCGCATTCATTCATGCAGGTGATGGATCAAAGAATATGTGACCCTTCCTCTGGTCTCCTCTCTCAGCCTCCTTCCCTCCAGTGTCACCCCCAGGAAGCTGGAGGACCTCAGGTTAGGCTACCTGTCTTCCCTACCTGTCTGGAGCCCTCAGTACCATCTGGGGTGAAAGTAATTATTAAGAGTGACAACTCAGAGCATGAGAAGCAGTGTCGTAAACCGAGCAATGAATGTGGAGTAAGGAATCCCACTTCTGACACTTGGTGGCTTTGTGACTGTGGACTACTCATACGACCGTGGCTTTAAGCAGCTAGGTGGCAGAGTGGATTGGGTACTGGACTTAGAATCAGGAAGCTGTAAGGCCAAATCCAGCCTCAGATTCTTACTAGTTATGTGACCCTGGGCTGGTCACTTAACCTCCGTTTGCCTCAGTTTCTTCAACTGTAAAATAAAGATGACAGCATCTACCTCACCAAGTTGTTGTGAGGATCAAACAGGACGTTTCTAAAGCGCTTAGCACAGACTCCGGCACATAGTAGGCACTTAATAAATTCTATTCATGGATCTAGAAGGATCTCAGATGTCCTGTAGTCCAAAACCCTCAAGTTACAGATGAAGAAACTGAGACCCAAAGAGTTGGAGGGATTTGTCTAAGGTGACGCAGCTAATAAGAGACATTTGAACCCATGTCTTCCAGACTGCAAATGTAGCCATTTTCTGCTCTGCCAGGCTCCTAGATCAAACTACAGTCTCTCTCTCCTCCCCCTCCCACACCTTCCCCCCCTTCCCCGTTATCCACCACAACCATCTGCTTCTCATTCGAGACACTCAAAGCAGTCTAAGATCACAGTCCTAGCACCCAGCTCATTCATGCTGAGCTTGCTGTCCATTGAAACCCCAATCTCTTCTTTTCTAAGAACATCTGCTTCTCACATGTACTCCCAATGCTGGACATGAATACTTTCCAGACACAGAAAGAAGGGTGCAGAAGCCAAAGAGAAACTAGAGAAAGCAGAGTTTGTGAATGAATATTCCCCTTCCCACCCCACCCCCAAAAAAAGACAACTTCTGTATTACTGTGTAGATCATCCAGTTTTATTGGACACATCTTTTTTCAATTCCAACATGCCAGTAATAAAATAACCTTTGAACATGTGGGCATCCTCCCAACTTTCATCATAACCTAGTATCCCTAAATTCTAGTTTAGTCTATAATTCAAGGAGGAAATTATGTCAGGAGTATCAAAGCCCCCATGCCCTGGTTATCCATAACACACATACACACAAATGTTTGTAAATCAGAAGCAAGAAAATCATCCATACAGCTGAAATAAAAATATCCAAAGGCTAGCACTCCCTGACAGATTCCCACAGTCATTTTAAAAGGAAAAGGAAAGCTAAAGCCAGCAGTGGCTGCTTCCAAGCTGCACCGAGTTCCAAGACATCAGGAGGGGGTCCCTTCTTGGGGAGCTGGCAGGGGAATGAGGAAGGGGTGAATGTTGCTCAGGATTTCACCAAAGCAATGAAATGTGGGCACCTCGTTCACAGCATCCGGGGCCCCTGGACCAGCAGAGAGCCCCGGGGTTTTAGGCACAGACAGTCCAGTGGTCTCAGTCCTCAAACTAATCAAGTAAGTTTTACGTTACCCCAAGACCACTCCAGGTTACTCAGACACTAGATCACTTGTCTAGGAAGTATTTCTGGCATCTGCCAACCATGGTATCAAAAATGCCTATGGCCAGAAACACTCCCCCTAGTGGAGAGGTCACTACCATTCCATCCATTTGCTTGTTTAAAAGGCAGGAACCAAACCAAAAAGGCCCACAGATTTAAAAATGTAAACTGGCCTTCAAGGTCATTCCCCTAATTTTAGAGATGAGGAAACTGAGATTCTGCGGTTAAGTGACCTGCCTTACATCACATAGCTAATAAAGATCAGAGGTCTGTCTATAGGTCTACTGACTTAGAGAGAGGTTAAGTGATCGGCCCAAGGTCACACAACTAGTAAGAACCAATAGTGGGATAGGAACCCAGGTCTTAAGGACTCAGAGTCCAGCACTGCGCCCAGTAGGTCATGCTGTCTCTCTTGAAAGAGCTGGGGATAGAAAGAAAGAAAGAAAGAAAGAAAGAAAGAAAGAAAGAAAGAAAGAAAGAAAGAGCTGAGGATTTTTAACTTGATAAAGAAAAGACTTGGGAGCCTGGGGGACTGGAGGGAGGGGCGGTTTAGGAGAGTGGTGAGGAAATAGGAGCTGTTTCTAAGCTTTGAAGGCCCTCCCACTGAAAGGGGACAAGCCCTGTTCTGTTTGGCTTGGCAAGCAAAGCAAGGAGCAAAGGGCTGCAAAGAGGTATCTCTGAGGCTCAGTGTCAGGCGACCACTACCCCACCTTACAAACATAAGGGAAAACAAAATGTGGCTTTTGGCTCCTAAGTTTCTCCAGTGTGAGAGTGGCCTTATTGCCATAAGGCATTCATCAAGAAACATGAGAGTTTAGAGGTTTCAGGCTCTAGCAGAATTTGTCCCCTGGGGACTGTCTATAAACTGTCCCCAAATAAACAACACAGGTGTGGGGGCTGAAGAATCTTCACCCCAATCTGTGAGGGTTTAAAAATGCCCAAAGAGCTTTGACTTGATGGTTTCATCTCTGAGCCTCAGCTTCTCCATCTTTAAAATGGGGGAAAGTCAGACTCCACGAGCTCTAATACCTCTTCTGGATCTCAAGTTCTAGGACTCTGAGAGATCTGAAGAAGGCCATCTTTCCTAAGACAGTGTCTTGCCACACCCCAGTAGGCTGAAAGGCAATGCGGACAAGTGGTGTGTAGTAGGCCAGGGTCAGAATGGGTCCCCCACCTTATTGTACAAAAAGCTTTGGGAAAGTGCAAACTGACCAGAGAAACCAGCAAAATGATTGCCATGGCCCTGAGCCAATGGTCTGAGCTGAGACTGCACTGGGAGGCTTCATTCATACTTCTTCATCAGGTCGAGGATCTCACTATAGAGTCTCACCGGGGCATCGATGCCCCAGATGAAGTCCAGGTGTTCCCACTCCGGAATGTTCTTGTGGTACACGAGGTTGGTGATCTGAGTCAGTAAGAGGCCCATGTCCTTGGTGTCTGCCAGAGTGTCTCGGCTCCCGCTCCAAACGGCTGTTGGGACCAGCATGTCCTTGATTGGATAGAGAGGAGGCTCAGTCTGGGAAGAAAAAAAGGCCAAGGAAAACCCATTTTTAAGTCACCGTTTTTTTTAAAAGCTACAGTAAAACAAGAATCACGTGTCTTAAATTGAATTCGGTCAAAAGGGATGGAGGAGTTTCAATTAAAAATTGGGGCCTGCTGGCTTCATTTCAGAGCCACTGGAGGAACCCAAGCCCAGCATGGAAGGATGGCGTTGAGCTACAAAGGTCATCCCCCACCACGGTCTGTTGGGGGGCCACGCGGAGAGGACAGAAAGGAAGGGGAGCCTTAGCTGGCACGTCCAGCCGTGGATGCGATGAGCAAAGGAAAGAAGCCTCCAACTGCATCCAACCACTTCCTACTACTATCCCAGATAGCCACCCATCCTCCCCACCCACTGAGGAACCTCCAGGGTCATCTCAGCTCCAGCATCCTTACCTGGTTATAGTGAAAGTAATTCTTATCCCGGTTTCCCCAGTCATAGGCTCTAAACTCCCCGGACCTGACAGCCTGAACATTCGGAATTTAAGACAGAAGGTTAGGAAGAGTTCACTGATGCATTGGAAGCTAATACAGCAACACAGCACACGTGCCTTAGCAATCAACAAGCATTTATCAAACACCTACTATGTGCCGGGCCCTGGTAATACAAAGGCAAAAGTGAAACAGGGCCTGCCTTCCAGGAGCTTGCATCCAACTGGACCAGACGGCCTCTGGGGCCCCTCCCGCCATTGCCCTGCAGCCCCCTCCTCTGATCAGTCAGCTGAGCCTCCATTTTCAGGAATTGCCCAGGCCAGCCATGTTCACTTGTCCATTCCTCTCCCAGCCTCCCTGCACACTTTTCTGCACCTGGCCTCCTCTGTCAGATATTTCCTCCCTTCCTCCCTGATTTTCATCTCTTTTAAGGGGTTGTCTTCTCCAATAGAATGTAAGCTCCTCGAGGGCAGGGACTGACTTGCTTTTTACTCCAACTGCTTAGCATAGAGCCTGGCGTATAATAATCATTTCATAAATGTTTGTTGACCGCACTGCAACATTTCTTTCTCTTTTTCCATTTCCTGATGCTCCACCCACATACAACCTTCCCTTGTAACAAAGAGTAACAATGGGACGCTTTCCCGGTGGCACTTCTGTCAGTGTGGGAAACGTTCTGCACTCCTGGCCCCCTACCTCTTTACCAAGCAAAGGAAAGTGTGCTTTATTATCTGTGCTCTACGGAGAAGATGGCTCACAGTATTTCATGGGAAGTAAATACCCCAGTTCTTTTCCTATTTGCAATGAGACCTGTGTATTTTTCTTTAGTCAAACAGTATAACTCCCATAAATCACTAGGACCCAGATCCCTTTGTGTGTTCCAAATGAGCGACTTTCTAGAAATTCTGCCTGAACAGCCTAAGCCCCAGGAGCTCAGCAAGGCTTGCCCTGGGGACACCATCTAACCTTGGCCATAGGCAAAGTCAGCCCAGAATCACAGCTGGGGGCCCCAGGGATGGCTCTGGGGTCAAGCCCCCTGGGGGATTGACCTCAGTTGCACCGTCTGAGGCTGTTTTTACCTCTCTAAGTACTTGGACCAGCTAGTTCACAGGGTGAAGCTGAAAACCCTATGGAAAATGTAAGTCATTATCATTTGAGAAAAAAAAAGCCAAGTTTAATGTGGTTCTTCAACATTCCCCATATGCCAGGACTGTCCAAGGTCAGGTCGGGTCAGGTATCACTGATGACTGGACACAGACAAGACCGTGGTCACTTTGCCACAGAGACTGGGGGAGTCCACCACAGAAGAGCCTCAACTTCCAATGACAAAGTCTAGGACAAAGAGCATCACGCCAGCGAGAGGGCTCTAACCTTGGCAAAGCCCTTTCCCCACAACATGTGGTAAGGGAGGCAGGAGCAAGGGCCCATTTTATTACTGTTCCTATTTTTCAAGTGGGGCCTGCCCCCAGTCACCCACACAGGCTAAGTCATAAGGCTGGGATTCAATGCAAGTTTCCCAAGGCCAAATCCAGCACTCTTTCCACTAGGCTTCACTGCCCCTCTGATCTAATCCAATAAGCATTTATTAAGCACCTACTGTGTAGAAGCCACAAGTAGGGCTAGGTAGGAGGGATATAAACAAAATGAAGAAAAACCAGTTCCTACTCTCCAAGGATTTTCCTTCTCCTAGAAAATATCACATATATACAGGTAAGTACATACATGATTATTTGAAGAGGGAGACCAGGCACTACTATTGAGTTAATTAAATTCCTCATGGCTGATAGCACTGGAGCTGGCAGGAGGGGTCCAACTTCTTCATTTTACAGGGGGGGAAACCAAGGCACAGAGCAAAGAAGTGCCTTGCCCAAGAGTTCACAGGTAGTAAGCAGCAGAAACTATTTGAATCCAGGTCCTCTACTCCCAAATCCAGTATTTTTACTGTAGCTCCCATCTTCCACCTCTTAAACATTTATTAAAGGCCCCTTCTGAAGTCACCATGCTACATACAATCCAAAGGCAGACCCAAGAGTCACATGACCAGGAGATCTGGGCCCAGAAGGCCTTGAGACATTAACCCACTTGCCCAAGGTCAAACACATGTAGTCAGGGCAGCAGAGGCAAAATTCGAACCCAGGCCCCCAACTCCAAACCCCACTGCCCCAAGAGCTGATGTTTGATCTTCAACGCAGAAATGGCAGAGCCCTTGCTTGGGGCCTGGAATCACTTCTTTATTACTTATGAAGCAGCTTGGAGCCAGGAAGAGGTGAGTGATTCACCACTTCACAGGAAGAATGTGGGTGAAGCTGCTGGCATTTGGCCAGAAGCCTCATAAAGAGAGAGAGGATAAGTGGGGGGGATGGGAGGGGAGAGAGCTTAGAGCTGGTGAGATCTCCTTGTCTAAGTCCTTCACTCTAGAGAGGAGGAAACTGAGGCACAGAGACAGGCAGTGATGTGGCCAAAGACTCCCTGACTCCAGCCTCAAGACTGTATCCATGGGAACTTAGAGAAACTACAGTGGGAAAACTGTAAAACCAGCTATATTACTTTGTCAGCCCTGCTAACCCCGTCCTATAATGTTTTATAACTGTCATTTAGTACACTGAGCATTTTTACCTTTACCTGTAATTAAAGGAGGGCTTACAGCTGAAACAATTTGACTATCACTTATGAAAGTTATAAGATTGTTAACTAAGTTATTTGAAGTTACTGTTTTAATGTTAAAACCTAGAATTGTTAATTGATTACTGTGTGAAAAGGTGGGGATTGGGTAAAAGCCTTATCCAGATCAGTTCTGCCTATTCAAAACAGTCCTCCTTGGGATAAAGAAGTCGGCAGGCAGGGACACCAGGATTAGCCCCTCCCTGGGGTATAAGGCAATTCCCCTTATTTTGCAAACTTGCCCCAGTCCCTGGAAAAAATCTATGTGGGCAATGTCATCTGCTTCCTAAACAATGAACTTGGCTTGCTGAGAAGTTGCAAGTTTATGTACAGTAGATAGAAATGATTTCTAATGATTGGCTTTTATACCAGGACAAGTTCAAATTTGAGAAAGAAAGACGTTAAGTGAAATCTCTTACGTATGTGAGTCCTGGTAAATATTGCTTATTGCAACTCTATGGGAGTCAAATTAACTGTATCTGGCTTTAAGCTGTGATTAGTGAAACTTGCTGTTTGGGGTAAAAGGTTCTTGGGACTATAACTAATTTTGTTTTGAGTTTGAATTTGGGTATAATTGTCTGCATTAAATCGGTATCAGAAATGCCACAAGCTACTCAGAACAGGTGGATGTCTGCATCCGGGAAAAAGCTGTGCGGACAATCTTAGCCTCAATCTAGGATGGGATCCTCCTGGCTCAGTTTCCCCATTGTGTTCCTTTGAGAAGGAATGTGTCCCGCCTGACTATTCCTGAGTCTGGCTGTGATGTGGAATTGATACGGCATGATTGGAGAACTGTGACTGTTATCTGAATTCAAACAGAGCTGAGGATACTCGGTCCTGTCATATTTGGATGTCACATGTCCCTGTCTTTTCCTTTTATAGTAGATTTCTCTGATCAGAGCAAGTGGTCAGTAAAAGATATCAGCACAATATAAGTATGTGAGATCTTGCTGTTTTGATCTGAATTTGTAGTCATCCCATGGCCTAAGTATAAAATCAGTGTTTGAATTTATCATATGTAAGATTCAATTTCTGAAGTATAATTAGAGAAGGATAAACAAGCTTGTGGGACAAGATTGTGTATCTATTCAGTTGTGAGGTTAAAGTTAGGAACCTCTTTTGTCTAAGGCAGTTTTTGCAAGAGACCCCCTCCCCAATGCAACCACCTCAGACGTCTTTGCCACCCCTTTTGTACTGGCCACTCCTTTATGGGAAAATTTTTCTATCTCAACATCCTGTTTTTCAACAGGGAATTATTCCCTTGCTTGGGAGACAAGTTCTATGGCCACTATACAGGTAAAGGCCCTTGCCAGGGGAGGGATTGTAAATGTTTCTGCTGGTCTCTTGACTTGCACCACCTGTAATGATGCCTGCAGTGATGTGTCCCCAGTACTTTACGTCTGCCAGCCGTACCACCTGTTCTGAGGGAACACTCCCTACTTGCACCTATGACCAAATTCCTCCTGCCACTCTCCTAGTAGGTATTTCTTATTTAACCTTCTCTCCTCAGTTGACACACAATGTTACAGCCTCCCCTTGAAGCTATAACACTTTTGTTGATCTTTTGAAAGCTTCTCTCTTACCTGTAATATTAACATGTAATCGTACTGATCCATGGAGCATCCATGCTCAGCACCTTTTACAAACAGGCCCCATCTATACCCCTAATGGACCTGGCATCGGCCAAGTTCCAGACACTGGCTAGAGAACCGACTCCTTGACCAGAGGGACCCCAGGAGGCAGGGACGGCTTTATGCCCAAACCCAGCAGGAAGCAGTTTCAGAAGCTGAGACCATCGTCCCTAACCCCAAAAGATTTTGGGGTCCCATCTGTTTAAGGGGGGGATGTTGGGGTGCTTGGGTGCTTATGCTTGGGTGCTTGTACTCGGACCCCAATTTCTCCCTAGCCTCAGAAACACTGTCCCTTGATAATCATTTAAGATCAGTTGAGCCCCAATAAGGGCCAAAAACCTAAATTAATCTTTTTCTCTCTGAGTGAACTAAAAACACCCCTTCCTGTGTCAGCAAATTCCAGGAGCTGATGGAGCTGATCAGTATTCTTCCTGTTTGTTATCACTGGGCCCAGGATGTCTGGGACCAGATGCTCTCTTGAATAGTGGGATTTTTCTTATCTTGAGTTTCAATTGAGAACTGACCACTCCTTAACCACTCCCTAATCCCACCCTGAATCACCTAGTTGGCATATTTGACACATGTTTTATTTCATTTTATCCTATATAAACTTTACCTGTACCTCTCTAAGGTTGCAGGATCCTTTAAGAATCCTTGCCCGCTGAAAAGTGTAACAATAAACTTTGCCACCTTGGCTTAAAGAAAAAAAAAAGACTGTATCCACGGAACCTGGTACCTCCCACCCATGTGAGGCAGCAAGCCCCTCCACATGGCCCTACCTGACTCCAGTGTAACATGTTCTGCACAGACGTCCCGGCAGGATTGTGCGAGCTGTACACGTCCACTCGAGACTGCAACACAAAGAAAGGAGAGGATGAGCCCAGAGCCATGGGCAGGGGGGGGGGCAGCTTCCAAAGCTGCAGGGTCCCTGCTCAGAAAAGGTGGCAACCACCCAAGCCCAGACTCTGGAGCATCCAGGGCTCACCAGCAGCTGGTGGCAGAGCCCAGGATTACCCAGGATCTCCTGGCCCCAAAGCCTTTCATTTTGCAATGAGGAAACAGATCCTACAAGGAAAGTGACTTGCCCAAGGAGTGAAGATGCTCTAATGGGGAGCATCAGATCCAGAGGACCTGAGTGACAATCTTTGCTCCACTCTTCATCAGCTTGGGCAGGCTTCAGAAGGATGGACTAGATGATCTGTGAGGATCCTACAGGGCAGATCTGGGCTTGGAAGCCAGGTCCTGGGCCCAGCCCTTCTGCCACCAGCCCACCCCCTCCTCCTCCCACATTTGCTCTGTGACATTGAGCCCAGCTAATGTGATGTTAAAGGCAGAAAGCAATCAGCTCTGAGTCAACACACTAGAATCATCCATTTAAAGGGACCAAGGCCTTTCCCCTCCTTCCACCCCCAACTCCCAACACCCACCCTATGACTGTCCTAGGCTGGCTGCAACAGCCAGGACAGAGAGGAGAGGCAGGCTACTGATACGCCCACACCTAGCTTATGAACTAGATTATTGGCTGTTTGACTTATGGGGCGGGGGGGGGGGGAATTGTGGACTTTAAAACATGAAGACAGAGGCAAGCTTTGTCCAAAAAAAGAAAAAAAAGGCATACATTAAGGAATGAAAAGGGGAAGGAGGGAAGGAAAGGAAAAAGAGATGGGAAAAAGAGGAAGAGAAGGGGGAAGGAAGGAAGGAAGGAAGGAAGGAAGGAAGGAAGGAAGGAAGGAAGGAAGGAAGGAAGGAAGGAAGGAAGGAAGGAAGGAAGTGAGGGAGGAAGTGAGGGAGGAAGGGAGGGAGGGACCCAGACACAGGAGAAGAGAAGGCGCTAGTAAACATTCATTAAAGGCCAGTTCCTGGAGTTTAAATACCATGTTCAGGTTGCGCTCATTGAAGCCGCAGAGGACAAAGAGGAGGTTCCCACAGAGCTCCTTCAGAATCATGTGGGTGCATACATGGGTCCCCAGCCACTTCAAAATCTGATTTTCGGGGAGAAATTGCTTCATTCCAAATATGTCCTGCACAGAAACAGAAAACCAGGCAGCCCGTTTCAGAGGGTCCCCAGTGTGGTCAAAGGCCCTTTGGCTCACAGGTCAGCAGTAGGCAGGGACCCCAGAGGCTGTTAAGTCCCACCCCTCCATTTTCTTAAGGAGGAAACTGAGGCCCAGAGAGGGGGAGAGATCTGTCTAAGAGGCAGCAGCAGAATTCAAAATCACATCCTAAAACTCCAAATTCACTGTTCTTTCCCCTCCACCAAGCTGACCCTCTTTGTGCTAATTATGTCAGAATCCTGCTCAGAGAGCTCACTCCTCTGAGCAGCTTTAATCATCAAAGCCATAACTAGGGAGGGGCAAAGCCAGGGGAGGAGGACAGGAGAGGGTTGTGATACGACTACTTAGTCCACAGAGCCCGGCACGAAGGGTCACAGATTTCCAGCTGGAAAGGACCTTAGAAATGATCAAGGCTCACTCAGGATCACACAGCTACCAAGTGAACCCAGCTCTTCCAGGCTTCAAGGCCAGAACTGCAAGCGCTCAGCCATGCTGCGTCCGCTCTAAGCTAAAACCTGCCTCTCTCTCTAATCTCTGCTCCTGGATGCTCCCACCCTGGGACGCAGGCTAAGCTGGCCACCCCCTCCAGATGACAGGCCCTCAAATCTTTGAACACTATGAGCATGATCACGCCTTTCCCTCTTTTTGTATTGGTCTTCTCTGCATCGTGCTAAGGAGATGAAGAAAAACTGGAGCGCGAGCAACAGCCAAAGAAAAGAAAGCTTCTGGAGCCGTGAGCGTTCACAGGCACACACCAGCACCCTCACCGCTTCCACGGGAGGAAACGTGGCTGTGTGCACAGAATGCTTGCTGCTCCTAAAGACACAGGGATCTGGGCTCGCATCCCACTTCAGACACATGCTAGCTTTGTGCTTCCTGGGAGACCGAGGACCATCTTAACACCTTCCTTCCTCAGAGGATTGTTTCAAGGATCACACCGATCAGACCTGTAAAGTGCTTTTCACTTTATGTAAAAGGCAATGATACTTACTGATTGTTCCATACAAGGCTGAGGTGTGCAAAGAAGCCCCTAACACCTGCTAGAGGGGCTACATGGACCCCCCTGGCCAGGAGCAGGAAGTGGCCTTCGGGACACAAACGTAGCCCCAGGCTCAGCAGCTTATGGCAGCTGACAGAGACTCAGCGGGAGCCAGAGAGCAGGCCCAGATAGCCTGGAGAAGAGAGAAGACCTTGGGGGCACATGGGGTGGGCTGTCATGATTGAGAAGGACTAGAATCAGGAACCAGGGCCAGGAGCTGCCACGAATCTGTCTCAATGTCAAGAAAAGCTTTCTAACAATCAGGGCTTTGCCAAAGAGAGGGAGGTGGGGCAGCCTCAGAGCCCCCCAGGGGTGCCTCAGGCAGAAGCTGAAAGGCCATAGAGAGGGGGATTCAACCCCAGGGACCCCTGCCAGCTCCCGCTCCAGGACCTTTGCCTAGAAAACCTCAACTGGGGCCACAAAGAGTCAGCTACAACTGAACATCATCATTAGAATAGAGGCTTCCCTTTTAGTTTCACAGAACACAGAGAGGAACCTGTGGCCCCATTATCCCCAGAACTAGGGGCAGGAAAACATGCACAGTTCTTAACTCTAATCTGGACAGCAGGCCCCTGCAGCAATCCTGCCCTTTGGGAAAGGACATTTCACAACTGAAAAACAAGACAAAACCAGACTGTGCCCTAGCTGGCCTCCAAAGTGATCCCAAGGCACTTCCCCTCTGTGGCTGTTTCTTCCTCTGTAAAATGGGGCTCACTGGCCCAGGAGGTCCCAGTCGATGGGCCTTCGAGCTGCAACCAGGATCCCTACCTTGAATAACAAATCTGGGAAAATCCCCAGCTTGGCCATGGGGCTGTTGCTGAACTTGACAGTGGCTACTGGAGCCAGGGCAAAAAACATCTTGATCTTCTTGGCCAGCTGAGGCAAACTTGAGAAGGCGATGAAGGCTGGGGGAGGAGAGGACACAAAACAGGATGTCAAGCCGCTGCTCAGTGAGCCTCTACACGCCAGTGACCCCCCAAGGGAAGAGGCTGCATTGACCCACCCGGTGTGACCTCCCCAGCCCCTTGGAAGGCAGCCCTCCAACAGTGCTTCTGGGCTCCAGGGCTGACAGGACTCTCCAAGCCGGGCCCCATGTCTGCTATTGACCCAAGGCATGGATTCAGGCTCGACAGAGCCTCAAGGACTTGTCAAGTGCATGTTCTCAAAGCTGCTTCAAGATCAGCTGGAAGGAATCCAGGACCCTCCAGGGCCACTCCAGCCCCAAAGCCTGAGCTGAGGCTGCAGAGTCAAGCAAACCAAACCTGGATGGGGCCTCCTGGCCCCCACTCAGCCCTTCCTTCCTGGGAAACCCTGGAATTGCCCATAAGTCAATAGTCAAGGGCTCCACCCCTTAAAATCTAAGCCTAGGACACCCATCCCTCCTACCCAGGTTTGGACCTCACTCATGCTTGATTCCAAGGAAAGCTCTCTTTCCCACTCCACCCTGTCTCCACTTAAGAGTAGGGGAATTAAGCCATAAAGTTTGGAGAGAGAAATGGCCCTGCCTACTGAGCTTCATTGGCTGTCTGAGGTCACTGGACAAGTCACTTAATCTCTGAGACTCAGTTTCTTCATCTGTAAAATGGGGATGTTGGAGGATCAAATGAGCTAATATGTGGAAAGTGCTTTGCAAATCTTAAAGAGCTATAGAAATGCGTGCTAATTTTTGTAAAATTTTTTATATTATATTCAAAGAGAAAGTCAGAATGGGACACTTGAAAGAGATCTTAGGAGCTATCTAATGTGTTCTCCACCCAGTGAGGAAGCCCTTCCCCAACTCCTCATGACATAAGAGGATCACCTATTTGCGCATCGGAGCCCCCCGTTACCTGATCTTGCTCCTCTTGACCACTAACACTGTCTGGCACGAGCTTTTCTTTCCTACACACATGCATGCACACATGTGCACATGCACACACAGCAGGGCCGACGTTGAGCACAGCGGCCGTCAGAGAAGGATATCCTCAGACTGGAGTTCTCATTACACAGACTGCCATTGAGAACCCAGAAGCATGGACTCCTCTTGACCTACCCATGGTGGTGCCTTGGGAATGGCCGACATAATACACTTGCTCTTGCCCAGTCTTGTTCAGGATAAAGTCGATGACAGCAGGGAGGTCATGTTTTGCCATCTCATCAAAGCTGCAAAGTAAAAAGAGAAGGTCCCAAAAGAAATCCCAGCCAGTCCCTGCATCTCCTGGAGGAGACAGTAGGAGCAAGAGCTGGGAGGACCCCCATGGGTCATCAAGTCCAGCTCCCTCACTGTTCAGAGAAGGAAACTGAGGCACACAGAGGTTAAGTGAAATGGAGTCAGGATCACCCAGCTCAGAGGAGCTAGAGGTGAAGCAGGTCCTGACTCTAAGCCCAGGGTCCTTAACTTATAGGTAAGTGTCTGTTCTGTACCACTGGAAACCATGCCAGCAACTAGGGCTGTCACTGCTATTACTACCACCACCACTACAACAACAAATAATAATAGTAGTAGTAGTAATAGTAATAATAACAGCTTTTAGGGTGTGAAAAACACTTGAATAACAGCTAACACTTATAAAGCACTTACTATGTGCCAGGCATTGTGCTAAGCGCTTTGCAAATATTTTCTCATTTGATTCTCACAACAACCCTGGAAAGATAAATATAGTTGTTATCCCCATTTTACATATGAGGAAACTCAGGCAAACAGGGGTTAAGTGACTTGCCCAAGGTCACACAGCTATTAAGTGAATAAGGGAGGATTTGACCTCAGGTCTTCCAGTCTCCAAGTTTGACACTTTTTCCATGGTACCACCAACTGCTTAAAGAAAACATCCTCTGCCCTCAAGGGGCTTACATTCTACTGGTTATAGGTGACAGTTATTGTTCTGTGTAGACATTGTTTCAATGGAGCCTCTCAACACTCCTATACAGCAGGATCAACAGGTATTAACATTCTTGCTTTACAGATGGGGAAACTGAGGCCCAGAGGTAGAGTGACATGTTCAAGGTCACAGAGCTGAGAATGTTTTAGCAGGATTCAAAACCATGCCTCTCCTAATGCCAAATTGTACATGCTATCTGCCACATGCCTCATATGCTGCCTTAAATATAAAATGTACCAGAGAAACCTCAGCTGTTGTCATCAGTCCATGTGCGTGCACCATGTGAGGTAAAAGATGTGCATTCCTGGAGAGGTCATTCAGGGAGGAATCCCCCTCCAGTGCCAGGGTCAGCGCCCAGTACACAGTTGCCCTGGACTGCTTCACCCCCAACCTACCTGAAAGCCCAGAACTCATCCTGGAAGACCGAGAGGGTCATGTGTTTGCAGGACCAGGTATTTCCTCGGCTGTTCCCCATCCACACGTCATAACCGGCATCAGCCAGGATGAAAGCTAGGCTGCTGCTGTCCAGATTTGAGATCCAGTTACTTGAATCGGCAAGCAAACCATGCTGCAGAAACACCACCTGCCGGGGACCTGGAAGACAGACTACATATGCTCACACAGAGCTAAGTTTGGGAACAGTCATAAAGAGGAGAGATGCTGCCCATCAGGAGCAGGACTGGCCATTGAGGTACCCTCGGACCCTTTGAGAATCACCAAGTCCCATCCTTCCCACCCTTCTGCAACTCAACGGTCACTGAGTTGGGCAGGTCCATCTACAGAGAGGAAGCAAAAAGCACAGACGCAGTCAGCAGTGGCCAGGCTGTCAGAGCAGTCCACATTAGCAAGGCATTCCTTCTTTATCCCAGATGGCAAGGATCCAGGATTTCCTGGCTAGCCATTCCATTCCTCTGATCATTATACTTCATATTACTACACCATTTAACAGTTCACAAATCCTCATCACAGCCCTAGGAGGGAAATGATGCGACACCATCATTTCTCTGTGACTTGGTAGACTCTTAGATCCTTTCCATCTCTAAATCTATGGTCCTACAGATGGGGAAACTGAGGCTCAGAGAAAGGAAGTAACTTGCCCACAGTCACATGGACTACTAAATGTCTAAGACAAGATTCAAACCCAGGCCTCTCTTGATGTTAAGTTCAGCACTCTATCCACTAGACCATAGTAGCTTTACTCTTGGTTACTGCCACTGACTGGATGATGAGCCGCTCCAGACTTTGCTAGTCTGATGCTCAAACGACAATCCATAGTCATTCTATATTTTTTTTGGTAACAAGACTGTGTCTTTACAAAGTTCAAAAACGAGAGTCATGAAAAAAAAGCAACATTCAGGAGACTAAAAACAGAGAAAATACACTATATACCAATTTCCCTAATGAATATTGATGCAGAAATTTTAAATAAAATATCAGCAAGGAAATTATAGCAAAACAGCTTGAAGATCATTATACTATGACCAGCTGGGATTTATACCAGGAATGCAGGACTGGTTCAGTATTAGGAAAAATGCAAGCATAAATGACCATATCAATAACAAAAAAAACCAAAACAAAACAAAACACATGATTATATAGATGCAGAAAAAGCTCTTGACAAAAGACAACATCCATTCATGTTACAAACACTAAAGAATAGGAATAAAATGTAGCTTTCCCAGACATGATAAGTAGTATCTATCTAAAATCAAGAGCAAGCCTTATCTAATGTTGAAACCTTCCCAGTAATATCAAAGTTAAAGCAAGGGTGTCCATTATCACCACTATTATTCGATAGTGTACTAGAAATGCTAGCTGTAGCAATAAGACAAGAAAAGGAAATTGGAGGAATAAAAATAGGCAATAAGGGAAGAAAAGTATCACTCTTCATATATGATATGTTGTGCTTACAGAACTCTAGAGAATCAATGAAAAAACTAGCTAAAATAATTAACAACTTTAGCAAAGTTGCAGGATATAAAATAAGCCCATATAAATCATCAGCATGTCTATATATTACCAACAAAACCCAACAGAAAGAGATAGGAAAAGGAATTCCATTTAAAATAACTACAGACAATATGAAATACTTGAGGGTCTACCTGTCAAAACAAAGCCAGGGACTATATGAACACAATTACACAATGCTTTGCACACAAATAAAGACAGATCTAAACAACTAGAGAAATATTAATTGCTCATGAGTAGGTCAAGCCAATATAATAAAAATGACAATTCTACCTAAGTTAATGAACTTATTCAGTGCCATACCAATCAAACTAGCAAAGAATTATTTCATAGAGCTAGAAAAAATAATAACAAAATTCATCTGGAAGAACAAAAGGTCAAGAATATCAAGGGAATCAAGGGGAAAATGTGAAGGAAGGCAGCCTAGCAGTATCAGATTTCCAGCTGTTGTGCTGTTCATCCTTCATTTCAAAGAGGACCAATGACATCACAAAGTGATGTCTTGACTTGTGCATGAATTGGATTTAAATGAGGCAGAGCTGCACAAAATCTTCAGCCTCACTCTCTTCCAGAACCATCAAAGTCCAGTGACAGGACAAAAGTCAAGACAACTGGGGATGGCCCAGGATGCAATGGATGATCTTGGTGTCTTCAGTGTCTGATCAAGCTCTAAGCAGTCCACAATGCCTACTTCAGCTGCCTTCATAGTCATTGGAACAAATCGTTCTCATCCACCCATTCCACCAAATAAAGTCTTCAATACTTGGGGTAGATGCCCCTCAAACTCACTGACAGGTTTGAGGACTATCAGTTACCCTCAACCTGGTCTAGCCAGTCTGCAGAGACTTACCAGGGTGTGGCTACCAAGTATGCTACAGCTTCTTGGAGTCACAGGTGAGAGTTGGGTGAATGAAGTGGATACCAAATGTGGATAAGCAGCCCTGAAAAGGACTCAGCAAGCCCTCACACCAGAGATGCTAGTCCTCCCTGAATGCCCCATATCCTCCAAACACCCCACATTTCAAACTATGTTACAAAGCAGTAATCATGAAAACAATCTGGGACTGGCTAAGAAATAGAGTGGTGAATCAGTGGAATGGATTTGGTACACAATACACATCAGTAAATGATCATAGTAATCTATTAGTGTTTGATAAATCCAAAGATCCAAGCTTTTGGGGTAAGAACATACTATCTGACAAAAACTAATGGGAAAGCAGTTTGGCAAAAACTAAGCATATACCAATATCTCACACCATATACCAAGATATGGCTCAAAATGGATAAATGATTTAGACATAACAAGTGATATCATAAAGAAATTAGTGGAGCATGGGAAAATGTACCTGTCAGATCTATGGAAAAGGGAAGACCAAGCAAGAGACAAAGAGGGTCATAGGAAGTAAAATGAATAATTTTTTTATATTAAATTAAAAAGATTTTACAAAAACAAAACTAAGACAGCTAAAATTAGAAGGAAAGTAAGAAACTAGGATAAATATATTACAGCAAGTTTCTCTGATAAAGTTCTCAACTCTCAAATATATAGGGAACTGAGCTGAATTTATAAGAATACAAGTCATTCCCCAACTGAGAAATGGTAAAGGATATGAGCTGGCAGTTTTCAGAAGAAATCAAAGCTATCAACACTCATATGGAAAAATGCTCTAAATCACTACTGATTAGAGAAATGAAAATTAAAAATAACTCTGAGATACCACCTCATTCCTACCAGAATGGCTAATATGACAGAAAAGGAAAATGACAAATGCTGGGGGGATGTGAAGAAGTTGTCTAACTGGTCCAACCCATTCTGGAAACAATCTGGAACTAAGCCCAAAGTACTATACAACTATGCACACTCTATGACCCAGAAATATCACTACTAGGTCTGTATCCCAAAAAGATCAAAGAAAATAACTTATTTATGCAAAAGCATTTATAGTAGCTCTTTTTGTGGTAGCAAAGAATTGAAAATTGAGGAGCTGCCCATCGATAGAGAAATGGCTGAATAAGTTGTGGTATATGATTGTAATGGAATACTATTGTGCTATAAGAAATGATGAGCAGGATGGTTTCAGAAAAACCTAGGAAATCTTATACAAACTGATGCAACGTGGAGTGAGCATAACAAGGAGAACATTGTAAATAACAGAAATATTGTAACAATGATCAACTGTGAAAAACTTAGCAACTCTGATCAAGGCAATGATTCAAGACAAATCCAAAGGACTCATTAAGAAAAATATTCTATCTTCAGAGAAAGAACTGATGAGTTCTGAGTGCAGATTGAACCATACTTTTTCACTTCCTTTATTTTTCTTTTTGTGTGTGTTTTATTTTGCAACACGGCTAATATGTAAAAGATTTGCATGACTTCACATGTAAAATTAATATCATATTGCCTGTCTTCTCAATGTGTGGGGAAGGGGAGGGAGGGAGAGAATTTAGAATTCAAATTTTTTAAATGAAATGTTAAAAATAATTTTTAATTAAAAAAAGAGGACTATTCTGGAGAAGGGAGAGGGAGAGGAGACATCAAGAACTGAGAAGAGAGAGCAAAACTTCCCAATTCTCACTTTGCTTCTATTTTTTCTCCCAAAGAGAATGATCTTTGGACTGGGATGGACAGAATTAAAATTACTAATAAGGAAGCGACACTGAAGGTAAGGGAATAGTAGATAAGGGGAGAGTAAGAGAACACTCAACTGCCCTGAATGAGTGCTGGGTTGGACAAAACAAAAAATTACTAATAAGGAGGTGACACCCAAGATAAGGGAACAGTAACAGAACACTCAACTGCCCTGAATAAGTGCAGAATGCAGGTCCCACTGGGTTGAACAGAACAAAAAAAAAAGGCTAATAAGGAGATGACACCAGAGATAAGGGAACAGTAAGAGACCACCCAACTGCCCTGGATGAGTGCAGGTCCCACTCGGTTGGACAGAACAAAAAATGACTAACAGGGGGCAGCTACGTGGTGCAGTGGATAGAACACCATTCCTGGAGTCAGGAGGACCTGAGTTCAAATCTGGCCTCAAACACTTGACACTTACTAGCTGTGTGACCCTGGGCAAGTCACTTAACCCTATTGCCTAGCCAAAAAAAACAAAAATGACTAACAGATAAGGGGATAGTGAGAGACCACCCAACTACCCTGAATGAGTACAGGTCCAAGCTGAGACAACCAACATCTCGAGAGCTACAAAAATCAACAGCTGTGATTATTAAGCCATTGTCAGCCATTGCTGAAAAATCAAGGGAAAAAAGGAGAGGTACCCAGGGCCTGGAAAAAAGGAAACATCCCAATTTTCAAAAAAAGGAAATAGAATACAGTCTAAAGGTTGGTTTTTATTCTTGGCAAAATGTTAAAGGGTATTATTATTAAAGGGATGGTTAGTTAACATCTAGAAAAGGAAGCAGTGATCACAGTCCTGAGTGACTTCAACAAGCACAAGCCATGCCAGGCTCACCTCGTTTCCATGTTTGACTGAGTTTCTAGACAGGCAAGTCAGAGGACAGTTGCATATGGACAAGGAGCCGCCCATCGATAGAGAAATGGCTGAATAAGTTGTGGTACATGATTGTAATGGAATACCATTGTGCTATAAGAAATGATGAGCAGG